AATTGCTTGATACCTTCGAGTGTGAGCTGCTCCTTCTTGATGAGGATTCTGAATGGATCGTTCATGAATGGTGTTCATGATGTGGAAGATAGATTGAGAATTGTAGCGGAGAAGAGGAGAATCTGGACATCTTCTGGGAAGTATTCCATGATATCGTTGACCTGCTCAATGAAGTTATGCAGAAAGCATCTGATCGGCTTCATCTAAGACGGCCATCTTGAAATTCTGAACACGGAGGTGTCCGGAGACGATGAGATCCAAAGCACGACCTGGTGTGCAGATGCAGATGTGTGGATGTGATGCGGCGCGGCCTGGCATCAACAACTCTCTGTTGCGCCACCGATTGAAAAGATAGCGATATCAAGGCCTGGGATACGGAACCGATTTCCTTGAAAACGTTTGAAAATCTGTGTAGCGAGTTCACGTGTTGGAGCTAAAACAAGGGCTGTGTTGTCTTTGGGAAACATCGATTTTAGAAAGAACACCCGATTGAGAAGGCACCTGTTTTACCGTACCAGAACTGTGCTTGGGCGATAACGTGTCTGTTAGAAGGATCACGAATGGCTCCAATAGCAATGGCTTGAATTTCGGAAGGTGCTCTGAAACCGTAGCTGTAAACACCTGAAGAGGCTGGAGGAAGATCCATCTGATCGAAATCTGTCAACGCGTGTTGTCCAGTTTGGAATGAAAGTTTGGATCATCTTGTGCTGGTGTCATTGCTTCATAACTGAAGTCTTCATGTCTGCCACGGCCACCATAGCCTCTGTCGTTTCTGCCGCCATAGCCGCCACGGCCGCCGTCGTCGTAGCCTCTATCATCTCTTGGACGATAGCCCTCCGCGGCCACCATATGCACGGCTGCCACACCGTAGCCACCGGCACCATATGCACGGCCGCTTCCTCGCCATTCGCGTCCATCATCGTAGTAAGACATTGCGCGAAAAATGACCTGTCATAACAGTTTTTTCGATGATTTCTGAAGTAATTTTCCGCAAAATAAATGGTTGTGTAATAACAGTTAGATTATTCATCAGTTTATGATCCTAATGGAAAATATCTAGGTTTGGTTTCATGAATGAAAGGAAATCGACCAAATCAAAAAAAATGTTATACAACTTTTAACGAAAAAGAATCTAAATTTAAAATTGCTTAATTAAATGTTTTGGCATATAAAAACCTTTGTAACAATCAAAATTGATATCTGAAATTCCAAAATCAACAATAAAAAGGACATTTTTCAATGACATATATATTTGTAAACATTTTTATCAAGTACTTTCATTCAAATTTTCCAAAAATATTTTGAAATCCCAATTTTGAAATATAAACTTGTAATTTTTGCAATTTATTTTTTGGAATTTGAAAAAATTTTGAGATTTTTTGAAAAAATGGAAAGCGAAAATCATGAGATCGCATGATGTTAATTATTATTGTTCGCTTAAAATTCAATTTATGAAAAATTAGCATTTTATTTTTTGGTTATCTTTTCAAAAATGCAAGAGAATGCATCACCAGACCTAGTCAAAGAAGATTTTCTTTCGACCAAATAACCAAAATTTTATATGTTTTTCTTCACTGCATTGACATTTTTATCCAAAAGTGAGTCTATCACATATGATGATGATAACATTGTATATGTGACAGAATCTAACTTCACCAATGTAATGAAAACGAAACAGCTGCAATTCTTTTTATTCAACAAGGTGATTTTCAACGTTATCGATACTATCAGACTTTATATCAGCTAGTTCGTATATTAGGTAACGAGATGTTACTTTGCTATCATGGATGGCGATCGAAATAAGTATTTTGTTCAGCAATTACATCTCAAACACACAAAGGCTACTATTTTTTAGATATGGTGAATTTGTAGAAGAATACAAAGGAGATCCCTCTCCAGATAGAATATATAAATATGCGATGGAAAAAACAGGACTTCCGTTCACAACTTTTGATAGACTATCCTAACAGCGCAAGAGTTCATCGAATCTCATCCAATATCGGTAGTTCTCTTTGAAAAAAAGGCTGGTGGCCCTCTTTTCGAAAAATTTAATGAAATTGCCGAGCGAAACAGAGATAACTACGCTTTTGGCTGTTCTCCTGATCCAGATGTTTACCTATGAGCTTCGTATCAGATACGTACCATCAATTGTGCTTTAACAGAAATACAGATAAGTCAAAAGTATTTTATCCTTACAATTTAACAGAAGGAACAGTCGAAAACATTACAGAATGGATTGAACAGAACAAGAATCCTAATTACGAGATATTTAATATCAATAACCAGCAAATTTTACGAAACAAACAAAGAATTAGGTTTATTCTTTACTCCTGTCGAACAAGAAGACCTCGATAAAGCCCTTTAGAACAATATCAATGGTAACAACCCAGTACAAGAACAAATTACGGTTCGCAGTCATTGATGCAGTTATGGAAACAGATTTATGCAAAGTATAGGGTTCAGCCGTTACGCGGACCCTGCCATTTTGTGTTCTAAACTATACAGGCAAGAGAGTTATATTAAGTATTTGTACACAGAAGGAAGCGAATTTCGGCCAAAACAAATTTTGCACTTTATTGATGAAGTATTTGCCGGAAAATATCAACCAGACATCAGGTGCTCAGAACTTCCACAGAATAATACTGATATTGTCTCTGAAATTAACTCAAAACGATGAACA